CTCATACGTATTGTGTACCTCTTAAATGATTTATTTATCTAATTTACCTGCTAAAATTTTTATTACTCAAATATGATCTACTTATGTATACAAATATAATATATGTCCAAGATTATATTTTGATTAAAATGTGCATTTCAATCCATTTTATTTAAATATATTCTTTTTACTAAACTAAACTCTTAAGAGAGTAAAAAACTCAAACAAGAAAAAACTTAAGCTCTTTAAAATTTTAAATTAACGTATCAAAAAGTTTAATAAACTTATACAAATGCAAAACATGCTTCCAACTAGTTAATATTATGTTAGAGCAAAAAAAAAAAGAAAAAAAAAACTAATAGTATTAAGAGTTGATTTTGTTTGCGTTTTTAATATTTATTATTTTTAGTTTGTACCCACTCTTGAAATAAAATCTTGGCTCCGCCACTGTGTACAGCTAACCTCCTAACTAACCACTGAGCTAACGAAAATAAACAACTTGATCTAACCACAACTAGTCTTAACAAATCTAAATGTTAAAATCATTTTTTTTTATCACTTTCTGCATTCATTGTTTAAAACGTGGATTGTACTAACATAAAATATTATTATTTAAATAAAAAATAAGATAATAAAATTCACGTCTTAAATAATAAATACAAAAAATAATAAAAAAAAAGTGATGCTAGTATTTTTTTCAACTAACTAGTTACAAGTTGCTTAACTTCCGTAGCATTTACGTGCAGGGATTTTGATTTTTCTTCTTTTGTTGAGCAAAAAAGCTTAATGTACAGGAATGTCTTTTTATTTTTGTGCAAGGAAGCTTCACTAGCTAGAAGTGCCAAAGGCTTATCTTATAAATTAACCCATTGTTTTTTGTTTTATTTTCTCAAATAAAGAAACATTTTTCATAACCTTCTTTTTTTTTTCTTTTCTCTTTTTGAAACAAAAAAAAAAAAAAAAAACCAAAAAACAAAAGATACCACAAGCTGATAGGCTGAGATAAGTATCGGGATCATGTCAATGTGTGGTGACGAAAACCAAAGTTGATTTGATGGGCTAACTCTGATGGTAGTGCTGGCCCATCGACTCGACGCCAACGGTGGTATCTGATATGGGCTATGTGTAGAATAAGCATGGTTGTTGTAGCCGCTATCCTTTTTTTATTATGTACAAAATCTTCTGTGTATATATACAAAGCTGAACATTAGAAAAATCAAAATTAGGTATTGAAAGAGTCTATAGTAGATATAATCACATCAAACGCCTTCGAGCTTTCAAATACTTGGTTAGAGTTATTTTTGTTTAGACTTTAGACACTTACTTTTATTCATGTGAGATTTAGGGCACCCTAAATTAACCGATAAACCTAACCCCCACCTATATCAAAACTTCATTCAATTGATTAATTCCTGTATCAATGGTTTTGGTAGGAGAAAAAGAAAATCAAACAATACTATCTAAGCTTTTCCGAAATCACAAGTTTTAGTAGGTGTTGACGGTTGATTTTCGTCAACAAGATTACACTGGATTGCCCCTCGGTGGCCCGTTGGGTTTTCGGTTAAAACTTATAACTTTTTCGGTATATTCAAGTGGTTCACTCTATAAAAAAGAGCCGCATCCACTGCTTATTGTATTTCTCTTTATTCTTCAGAGGTTACAAAAAAACCTCTCATTTTCTCTCTGAGGCTTTGCCCCTTTTATAGTGTGCAGATTACATATGAGCATCTTTTTGGATGGACTGTCTCAGGGAGTTTTATGACGGTTTCTCTCAAGTAACTTATTACCTTATTTGCCTAGATCGTAGCCTGTCAACACTTTTTGGACTGTTCACTTACCCACTTTGTCCACTATTGCGGCTCTATGGATCCTCTGTGATTTTCATTGTTCCATTCCAGGCGGTTTATGGGCAGGTAATAATTTATTGTGCCACTGACTTCTCCAAACCCAGACGTAACCTAGAGATCTCCCTTTGTCCCCTCAGAGACCTTTTTTGAGACGTGGACCCATATTCGTGCGTTTTGCCCCCAGCGCCTATACTACACCTGACTGGGAGTGACCTCTGCTTCAAGTTGACCCCCTGATGGCACCGCTTCTATGGCAAACAAACTATGCATGCCTCGACTGTATGTAGGGTTGACAGTTTGTACGAACCGTTCCATACAGTCGGCCTCTTACCAGATGGTGGAGGGAGAAATGAACTTTAGGCGTCGACGGATACCTGAGTTGTCGAGTTTTGGGCCACATAGAGGATGGTCATTGTCCGATGTGTCAACGCACACTTTCCCAGTAGAAAAAAAGAGTACAAGATAATGATAGATAATTAACTATGTTTCAAACATTTATATACTCATAGAAAAAACGGAAAAGAATTAATACCACGTTTTGTTTTCCATTTTGTTCGATTTAGCTAAAAGCCACATAAATAAATGCAATTGGCATTGCGCTTTCTGTCTGTTTCATGTATGCACTTGGCGGGTCTTGCAGTGGCTTTGAAAGAAGTTTTATACCAAGTAATTTTATGGTGCATTTAGTTAACTTTAGTAAATAGCTAGGAAAAGATTTCCCAACTTTTATTTTTAACCACGATTATTAAATTCTTATTATGCTTGCACTGAACCTTCTCTATCAAGTTTTTTGTGGGTTTTTTTTTTTCCTCAATTTGAAAAAATAATTTAAATATATTCGCCTACTTTGGTCGTATTTAGAATTGATTTCGTTTTTATTTTTTACGTTTTTCGAAAAAGAAAAAATAAAAACGTTTCTAAAACGACGTTTGGTGCGATAAAAATAAAAAACAGAAATGAAAACGATTTTTGATTTAGTGTAAAATGAGAGAAAAATAAAAAATGACTTTTAGTCGTTTTTTATTTTTTATTTTCGTTTTCTGCTATTTCGAGTAGAGAGAAAGAAATAAAAATATTAATGAGTTTTTATTTATATTAAAAATTATCTCTTTATAAAACTACTAAACGTATTTTTAAAAATAATTTTTATCTGAGATTAAAACTATTTTTATTTTTATTTTCATAAAAAAAATAAAATTATTTTAAAACGAATTATAAACTCGCTCCTTATTTTCACGTTTTTTTTTTTTTTTTTCTAAAAGATACTTTTTGTTTCCACGTCTAAAAATAAATAAAGTTTAATTGTTAAGGCCGTGATTCATTAATATTTGTTCTCCAAGTGTTACATTTCTGTAATAGGAAAATATCTGCCATTAATGATTATGATCCTTCTTTTTAACGCAAATAATGATAATGATTATATTCTTGGACCCACCAGCAAATCCTTCATGTAGAAACGATAAAAAGCACCATAATAATTGATTTCAGACTACTATTAGAATGAGAGTCCAATAATTCATCCCTTTTGCAAAAATTCAATGTGATTGATTTTTTAAAAGCCGCCAAACTTTTGTTATTTTTTGACGAATAAGACTCCATCGCAAGCTGCCAAACTCGAGTTTTGATAGGTTGTTAAGGAGTCTACACCGAAACAACCAAAGAAAAACCTTATAATTAATAATTTTTTTTCTTTGAAAAATTATATACAACACCTTTTCCTTCATCGTATTAAATTGGTACCTTAAAATTTAAATACTACTAAACTAATATTCCGTATTTAAAAAAAAAAAATGAAAACCTTTCGATGCTTATATCCGTTTTGTGGGGCATACAATATTCTTTGCATTTTCTGAAGTAAGAATTTTAAATTATATTTCTTAATACAAACAATTCTAAAAAAAAGAGAAATAAATAACTTTTTTATAATGATGTAGGTTTTTTTTTTATTTTTTTTATTTTTTTATTTTTTATTTTTAAGAAACGTTAACTTTTTTCCCTTTCAATATGTTTTTAGAATATTTAAAGGACGAGGACATTTACGTCTTAAATTGTAATTCTCATATTAATTTAACATAACACATGGTATCAAAATGTAATTCTTCATTCCCTAAAAAAAATTCATTGCAACTATTGTATATGGTAAATCTTTATGTACTTACGTTTAGAGGCGTAGAGTTTAATCTTCTCACTCTATTTTTTTTTAAAAGAAATTCTCTTATTTTTCTTATAATGTAAATTTTCCTTGAGATCATTTTTTTTTAAATAAGTGCAAAAATGACCTTTTTCAAAGTATACTTTTAGTAAACTGAATAATTTTACATGGTTGAAAATTAACATATTTCCTTAATTTGACAAAAACTATATGTACATCTGTTTGGATTAGACTTTATGCCCTTTAGAATTAATGATTTTATGTCAACTTATTCTTTTAAAAAATTAAGGGCATTTGAAACAAAATCAATAATCATGGAGCATGTTGACTTAAAATTAATAATGTAAAGCGTATCTATAAAATTATAAGTAGTGCCACGTATTCATTTATTAGTAATATGAACGAAGGGGTAATTTGAACTAAGATATGTAATTTAGGGAACAAAATGAATCCTTTTCATAATTCATGATCATGGTTTCAGGCATTTATAAAATTAATCTAAAGACCATTCATCACAAATTTATCATTTTTTATCGAGTACATATAGTTGGGAAATTTTTTATAATAGCAAATGCTATTTTATTTTTTCTAAAAAAAAATACTATTTTACTTTTATCAGAATTACTGTTTTATTTATTAGATTAAGTTTTTAACAATCTAATTTATAATTAAGAGCAGTTTTAGATCGTGATATGTAAATATTAATGTGGGCACTTAAATATATCAGATGATTAAAAAATTTTAATTTAACAGCCAGCCAGCCCATTGAGATTGCCCTTTGCTTTGACTTTGTGAAATAAAGGAAAAGTCAAACGTTCATGTGTAAGCAACCAGCCAGCCCATTCCACGGCGTACACGTAAACATTTCCACTCGCTCAAAACGCGCGTATAGAGTCAAATCGGCCTTATTCAGCAGTGGCGTTGTCGTAATATAGGGCAAAGATCGTGGTCCTTTTCCTTGGTCCCCCCAGGACGTAGTAGTAGCTTTTAGCGCACTCGAAGCATTCAAGGACAGTAAAAATCACAGAGTTTCCCACATCTCGGTAAAGCCAAAAACCAGAAACAGCAGAAGAAGAAGAAGAACGTCGACGCTCTCTCTCATTCCAAGGTGAATTGTTTCTCTTTCTTTCTTCTCAGACACTGTTTGGTTGCCGAGAAAGTTCGGAGGAAAAGGGAGACGAAACGAGGAAGAAAGAAGATTCCTAGATTTTTCTTTTGGAACCGTTTTCTTGAAGCTAAACTCTGTTCGTATAGTTCGTGATCAAGCCTAGAATCTTCTTTGCCTCTTATTTTTTCCTTTTTTTTTTTTTTTTGTTATATGGTTGAATGTAATAGAGATCGCTTCTTTGTTTGTTTAGTGAGAAAGGCATATTTGGTTATTTGAATGCTTGAAGATTCTGTTTTGATTGTTCATTTATTTCTTCTTTGATTTTCTCAAGATACAGGGCTTGCATGAGGAGTTACTCAATTGAATTTGGTAATTTCTTGATAGTTTTAGTCATTCAATTTCGTTTCAAAAGAAAATTTAAGCTTTTAGCAGATTTTTGAGGATCTTGAAAGGTGATTTGGCTTTAATTTCTTGTTGGAATTGGGATTCTTGGGATTGATCCTTTATTGGTGATGAGTAGGAATTACTTCTAATTGGTCAACAACTTTCTCATTAATGCATTATTGCATTTTCTTCTGTTCGTTAAAGATTAGGAATTTGGATGTTCTGCAGATTATACGGTTACATTTCTTATCTTTTTATATTATTATTATTTTTTAATTTTTTCCCTTTTTTGCTGGAAAAGTCACGTTTGATTTGCTTATATAAAGAAGAAAAGTATTCTCATTTCAGTTTCTCTGTAATGACCACAAAGATCAAACTCTTCATGCTAGATAAATATATTACATTTATGCCTCCTTTTCTTTACTTTCTTTCCCAATCTGAACCTAATTTTCATGACATAAAAATAAATCCACGTGCTTCCAAAGAAACCATTTTCTGTACTGAATGAGTTGAGTTTAGCAAGTCACAACTTTCATTTTTTTTAGATGGTTTGCCACTGTCGTTGATTTTCTCAATATTGGCTGGGATTTTTTTTTTTTTTTTTTTTTTTTTTTTTGTGGAGTGGTTTGATTAGAAAATATGAAACGCTTTGGTAATCCTAAAATATGGTTCATTTGCTGACTGTGCTATGTAATTTGCAGGTATGTTATTGTGGTTGAAACTTGAGAGTCATCAAGAAATCGGAATTGGGTTTTCAAAATGGTTCAGAAACTTTCAAATTTATGCCAGGTAGAAACGAGGAGATTGATTTGGATTATAGGGCTGTTATTTGCTCTGATCTTAGCGTTCCAGTACTTTGAACTCCCCTATGGTAGTTTTTCATCTTTGACTTCCACTGGAAAGGTTCCGGTACAAGGGAAAAGTAGTCAGAAAAATGGAGATTCACTTTCTAGTGCTTCAAACTACACTGATAGGCATGTAATTAAGGAGCCACTTAACGATACAAGGACCTCTAGTAGTGCACCGGAAGGAAATGGGGATGCGGATAACTCTGGCGGTGAGGATTCTTCGTCGAGGAATTTGGTGAAGCAAAATAAAACTTTGGAGGGAGAAAATGTAGAAAACGTAGATGATGGACTTGCACAAGATGAGGAGGCAGAAGAACCTGATCAGAGCTTCAATGGAAATGTCCATGCCACAGGTAGTGATAATTCAACAAGCAAAATTGAGAAGGATGCTACTAATCTTACAACTTCTGATAAGGGCGAGAACTCGGATTCTGGTCCTCCATCACCCTCTCCTTCAACACCCTTGATTGATTCACCACCATCTACAGCAGAGACAGTTTCACATACAAATGTTAGCACTCCTGCTACATCTAGCAAGTCCGATCCCTTTTTAGTGGAGAAAGAAAAGGCTACTTCTGAGAAAGAAAAAGAAGCTGAGGGAGTGCCAAGTGATCTCAGCCACACTGAAAAAACTCCTCCAGTGACTGCAGTTCCTAATACAAATACTCGGCCTCAGATGCCGGTGTTGGATTTATATACTTTGTCCGACATGAATAATTTATTGCTTCAGAGTCGTGCCTCATATTATTCAGTGGTATGTTGAAACTTCAGCATCATGTTTTGAGGATATACTTTCATCAATATTTAAAATAATTCAACATGTTCTTATATTTTCTATTTTTACGTGTAGATACCGCGATGGTCTTCAGCAGTAGACAAAGAATTGCGAGATGTAGCATTGCAGATTGAGAATGCGCCTATTGTACAGAACGATCCAAATCTTTATGCCCCGCTTTATAGGAATATTTCCATATTCAGAAGGTATTTTAATGGGATGCATTACTTCTACTCAATGCTTTATAAGTATTGCTCTTTTTACATTACTCGTCATTAATGAAAGCACTAGAAAGCATTTTATTTAACGATTGGTTCTGCACAGTCCATACCATGATTTTGTAATTTTTCAAATGCTAAGAATTACATCATTATTGTAAAAGCTTTGCCCTGTTTCTAACATATCTAACTAATGCATTTTCCTTTTTCGGTCTACAGGAGCTATGAGTTAATGGAAAAGACTCTTCAAGTTTACATTTACAGGGAAGGAGAGAGACCTATTCTGCACACACCAATTCTTAGGGGATTATATGCTTCTGAAGGATGGTTTATGAAGCTGCTGGAAGCTAATAAAAAATTTGTTACCAAAAATCCCCGGAAAGCCCACTTGTTCTACTTGCCTTTTAGCTCTCGAATGTTAGAGGAAACCTTGTACGTACCCAATTCGCACAATCATAAGGCTCTTATACGATATTTGGAGAAGTACGTGGATATGATTGCGGGAAAATATCCATACTGGAACAGGACTGGAGGTGCAGATCATTTTCTTGTTGCTTGCCACGACTGGGTATGTTTGTTTAATTCCTTTTGATTTTTGTTTAACTAGTCACTAGAGGGCGTTAGGACTTTCTGAAAATTCAAAACAATTCTTTTTTTTTTTTTTTTTTTTTTTTTTTTTTTTTTTTTGGGTTTTTTTTTTTTTTTTTTTTTTTTTTTTTTGCGGATATCTTACATCTTTCACCGTGAAAATACTTCGTGTTTGTACTTTGAGCAACATTGTGTCACTGTTTCAATGTAGACAATACATCGACTTCTAATTGATTTTTACTTCTATTATTCGACATAAATATATATGGAAAAAACTTGATATGTTATCCATTTTTAGATTTTGGATCATCCTAAAAATTCGGCATACGTTTCAAGTGCTAACGAAAACCCATTTCCTCAGGCCCCTGCAGAGACAAGGCATATTATGGCCACGTGCATTAGAGCCCTTTGCAATTCTGACGTCAAAGAAGGTTTTGTTTTTGGCAAAGATGTGTCGCTTCCCGAAACTTATATTCACTTGCCTAAGAATCCTCTCAGAGATCTTGGAGGCAAACCTCTTAGAAAGAGGTCAACGCTCGCATTCTTTGCTGGGAGTATGCACGGTTATCTCCGGCCTATTCTGCTACAGCACTGGGAAAACAAAGATCCGGACATGAAAATATTTGGCAGATTACCAAAGAGCAAGAACAACAGGAACTATGTCAATTTCATGAAGACCAGCAAGTACTGCATTTGTGCAAAAGGTTTTGAAGTCAACAGCCCGCGAGTGGTCGAGGCCATATTCTTCGAGTGTGTTCCTGTGATCATATCCGACGACTTCGTGCCTCCTTTTTTTGAAATTCTGAACTGGGAATCCTTTGCAGTTTTTGTATTAGAGAAGGATATTCCAAACTTGAAGAAAATACTCCTTTCCATACCAGAGAAGAGATATAGGCAGATGCAGATGAGGGTGAAAAAGGTACAAAAGCATTTCCTGTGGCATTCTAAGCCTGAGAAATATGACATTTTTCACATGATACTTCACTCTGTTTGGTACAGTAGACTTCACCAAATAAGACCCATATAACTGAGAGATGAATGTATATTGCATTCTTGGTTGGTTTGGAATGATACCCTTGTGGAGAACCTCTTAGGTGAATTAAGGGAAGGAGATTTTGAAAATTTTAGCACATGAATACTTAGTTAAATTTTTTCATTGTATTGTACATATAAGGATGTGAAGTGGTACAAAAGAGCTGTTTTGTTCTCTTCATTTGTTTAGCAGCAGGATGTAGAATTAATATGTTTATATATCTTTTTTCAGAAAATAAATTATAATTATTTTTAAAAAAAAATTTAAATCTTTGTGTTTTTAGTATTTAGCTTATGTTGAATGCTCCTACAAATCTAAATTATCATAATTAAGTAGCCAAGTGAAGGGAGAAAATCGAGAGTTATGACTTGAGTTTATATGTGACCAAAAAAACTTAAAATAAAAAAGTTGAATTTAAATTTTTATGAGAGAAAAAAATAAAATATTCAAATAGAAATAAAGAAGAAATTCTTTTCTGGCGGAAGAAATTTAAAAAAAAAAAAAATTATTTTGCTGGGGTGGAAATTAATTTAATTTTGTCAGGACAAGATCTAATAAATCAAACTGTCACAGATACATGACTCCGCATTGACTCGTAACTTACACTTGCAACACGTGTTCGAAGTTCGAAACCACCGTTAACATTAAAGTCAGTGAAAATATCAGTTAACTATAGCCTTCCTAGCCTGAGGTCGCCACATCATAAGAAACCTAGGCTCTCAATTCTAACCGTTGGATCTGACATTGTACGCATCTGACTTTCCAAATGACAAATTTAGCCCTGGACTGATTAATCTCTCTCGAAATTCCAAGGGTACAACAATCATTTCATTGGCTTTCGGTTGTTGAAACTTTTTTTTTTGCTAATCTTCGGTTGTTGAAACTTAAAGCTCTTCTTTAGCTGTTAGAAGAAGAAAGAAAACCCAGAATTTAACAAGCGGAATCCGACAACTTTTAATTTTTAATTTATTTATTTTATACAAAAAAATAAAAGTGGATTGATTCACTTTTTTATACAGAAAAATAAAATTGGATTCTGTAAAGATTGAAGAAATTATCGCAAGATCAATAGCGAATAGGAAAAATTTGCAGAGATTTACATGGCGACGGAGACGAAAACTGCTGTGGTGAAGCTCAAGCCAAGTAACCTATCTGGTTCTTCCAAGGGAAAGCTTGATTCTTCCGCAATTAAGAAGAAAATCGAGAGCTCCAGCAAGCAGATTACTGATTCTTCGAGGCCGAAATTCGTATCGACCATCGTAAAATCCGAGGTAAAGTTGATCTGTGGTTGATTCGATTCAGCTTGTTTGTATTCGTTTGATCGTGAATTGAGCGAATCGAATTATGAATTGCTTTAATTTGTCAATTCGATGATTTGGGGTTTTAGGGTTCATGGATTTGGTTCCGATTAAGATTTCGTGCTTTGGTTTATTGAATATTTATTATGTCGTCTGATTCTAAGAAAGATTGCTGAAAATGTGAAGGTGAAATCGAAAACGACATCAGGATCATCAAAAGCGGCAACAACAACAACAACAACAAAAACAACAAAAACTAGTACTACTAAGGTGAAACAGAAGAAAGTTTACACTTTGCCAGGCCAGAAATATGATCCTCCTGAAGAGGTTTTGATTCCGGGACCAAATTCTCTTCTTTCTTAAGTAGAATGAGTTGTGTGATAAAGTGTAATTAAATTCTTGTGCTTTTGATTTGTTGTTTCCTTTTTACAGAGAGAACCGCTGAGGATCTTCTATGAGTCATTGTCAAAACAAATACCAACCAGTGAAATGGCTGAATTTTGGTTAGTACCATTATTTATGTTCTTAAGGATTCACTAACATTCCTTAATCTAATTGGTTGAATACTATACGAGCTTCCGAGAACTTTCCATCTGCAAAAAGAGAGCTTCCGATCTTCCTTAATCTAATTGTTTCGTTTGTTAGATTGTAAAATTTGGCACTTGACAAAGGAACTAAATTTTATATCTGGTTTTGTTCCTTGCTTTTACTTTTTAATCAGTGATAGTATAGTTTCCATTGCCCGCAGGGAAAAGCAAGTGATTATCATTAGAGTATTATAAGGAGATTTCACGGGTTACTAAATTATTAGATTTCCCTTATCGAAGCTTAGGAAAGTTTGTAACACGATTAGGACAAGATCATCTTTTGATGTGGATGCTTGGTGCTAGGCTGTATTCTAATTAATTACTTGCCTGTTTGCTATTTGGTTCATGAGGTTGCAAAGTATTTGTTTGGATCTTCTAAGGAAACTAGTCATCATCTTAATGAGGAAATGAAACTGAGTGTACTTCGCTTCCCTTGCCTATGCTCATATTTTGTATCGATCCTTCTTAGTATAGTCTCTGCTATTCTTGAAGACAAGGGTTGATTCAGATTATCATTTTTTATGACTATTCTGGATAAATCATAGTTAGAGTGGCAAGCAACTTAAGCTATAGGAAGACTTTAAAATCAAGTCACTTTGACATTCAGCAAACTTAATCTACCTGGGCAGGCAATTTTAGGAACGAGTTACACCTGTTCATACTTATAATCTAGAGAAATCATGACACCTATCTTACAAAAGGTGTTTTGAATCGGTACTCGATGAACATGAGTTATCCTTTTCCTAAAATTCTTGGCCTCTTTAAGTTTTTAGAAATTAATGAGCTCACCATTTTGCTGTTGCATTCCCAAGTTCAGAGTGCTTTTGAGTGCATTTACGAGATAGCTTCTACTGAAAAGGTGGACTTTACTCGACTATTCTTTTGTAATCAGAGATCTTTGCGCCATTACTTCATCTTTCATATTGATCTATCCGAGAAGCTCATTTACTGGTATTTTTGTAACTTTTTGATTCGCACTTTACGACTTACTATTGTGCGATGTAACCTTAGTTTCTCTCATATCTTTTAAGAAGGAAATGTTGCAGCTGATAAGTTGGCTAGGATTTGTTTAAGGTTTTCAGGACACGTTTGGCGGGGTTCTGCTCCCATTGGAATTGTGTGGGACACTCAGCAAGATGACATCATTAGCAACATATAGATTCAAGGATTTGTTTTTCCCTCTCTCTCTCTCTCTCTCTCTCTCTCTCTCCTCCCCTCTCTCTCTCTCTCTCCTCCCCTAGACTATAGTTTTGTCTCGTGTGTATAATTTGCTTCTTGTTTTTTCCTATTAGTTGTGTACAGCCCACTTTGTAGGGTTCAATGTCCACTGTCTAGATCTAGATGTAAATGTTTTTTCTCTTTTAAAAAAATTTTGCCATCTATGGAGGTTTGAAGTAAAAGAAAAAACAAAGAGGATCTGTTCCCATCTGGTCTTGATAAATGATTGATCAGATGCAGTTTTCAGCCTTCAAATTATCTTAATTGGAGTGCTCGAGTACTTTCGAGTTTGACTTGAAAAAAACTTTTTCTCTGGTATCTTCTGTACCTTCACATTCAGTATTTGATATTAAGTTGACAGCCCTTAGAATTGGACGTAAATTCTAGACATTACAATTCATATTCCTTAGTGAGAATGTGTTCCAACCCTTAGGTAGAACTCATCCCCAAAAGCTAGCTTGTAGGGAGAGGGTGCCCAAGTGGTTATAAAACCCACATGCTAAGCCCATACTTTAACAATGTGGGACTCAAATAGGATCCTAACATACCACCATACCATCACGCTTCCAACACCGACGTCCACGGCGGCCCACTCTGGCCTTTCTAGGTCGCCCCTTCCACAACATGAGCTCGAGGTGGGGCATGCTCTGATACCAATTGTTATAACCCTTGGGTAGAACTCATCCTCAAAAGCTAGCTTGTAGAGAGAGGATGCCCAAGTGGTTATAAACCCACATGCTAAGCCCATATGTTAGGATCTTGGTTGAGTCTCACATTGCTAAAGTATGGAGTTAGCATGTGGGTTTATAACCACTTGGGCACCCTCTCCCTACAAGCTAGCTTTTGGGGATGAGTTCTATCCTAGGGTTGTAACAATTGGTATCAGAGCATGCCCCACCTTGGGCCCACGTTGCGGAAGGGGCGACTTGGAAAGGGCAGAGTGGGCCGCCGTGAACGTCAGTGTTAGAAGCATGGTGGTATGTTAGGATCCTAGTTGAGTCCCACATTGCTAAAGCATGGCCTTAGCATGTGGGTTTATAACTACTTGGGCACCCTCTCCCTACAAGCTAGCTTTTGGGGATTAGTTCTACCCAAGGATTGTAACAAGCTGTTAGATAAGTATAGCAATGAAGCGTATGGATGCCCTTTAGACAAATGAGTGAACTTTTCTTGCACTCTCACAGTATTTCCAGTGTGAGGCAACTTAACTTAATTTTGTATGTTTTTTCAAGTAATTCAATTTTTTTTAATGCTAAACCATAACTCCTAGTTGCTGGAGCGTAAACTATTTGTAACCTTCAAACGTATTTGACCATGAATTATCTTGCTTGGGAAGACTTTACCAAACCGATGTAACTTAAAGGCCTGCACTTCACCTTTTTTATTTTTTTTTATTTTATTTTTTTTTTCAGGCACTTTTGTTGGGTTATGTTGTAGAGCCTGATGCTCGCCCCTAATATTTGAGCTTATCGTGTGTCCGATATAGCCCCAGCTTACCTGAATTACCGTTTTGTCACATTATTTTGGTTCAGTGCTTATGTTGCTTCTCTTATGGTGGTGAATGATTCATTAGTAGGTCCACACAATGTCTTCACATGAGAGTTGTGATGCAAAATGCTTCATACTTCTTCCGCTATGTAATTGTTGTTTAACTTCTTTCCCAATTCCTTCAAGCTGAAATAGTATTGTGTTATTGATTTAGAAAACCGAGATAATGGTACACTGTTGATATACGTACCATCATTTAGATATTTGATCAGGAAGAGTTGAATACAATTCATAGCCATTTGTTTATGAACATCAACATTTAAAAAGCCTTCCCTTCGTTTTACATATCCGATTATGCTACTGCTACTTATAGATTAGTTCATCCCACTATGGAAATAATGTCATGCAGATTCTGTACATGACACATTTTACAGTGTCCTTTTTAGTTTATGCAAATTGTTGTCCTGTGAAATAAGAAAAAATGATTAAACATTCTTACAATTTGCAGGATGATGGAACATGGTTTGTTGTCCCCTGAAAAAGCCAAAAAGGCATATGAGAGGAAGCAGAGAAAGCAGAAGCAAATTCGGATGGGAACTCCGATTAAACCTTTGAAACCACCAAGCAAACCCGAGAGTTCGCAGAAGCAGCTGCAGGCATCAAAGAACGGCGATGTAAAAGTGAAGAGGAGAATTGTGAACGATAGTGACGATGATTTCATTTTAAGTCCCAAGAGAAGGAAAGCTTAAGCGACGTGGCCACTCATTAATCCCACCGTGGTGTATTTCTAGAAATCGCGTTTGGTGCGAACATTTAGATTATTAAATTGCAGAAGAAAGGTAGACATTCTTTGTTTCGCCCAACATATTACAGAAATAAGTGAGAATAAATAGTCACTTTTTTCTTCTACTTTATGATGTTCAAAACTCAAAAGTTTTCCCCATGCCCAAATATTCAGGGGGTTGATAGATCGAGTTATTGCTTGCTAACTTTTCCTGGCGTGCAGTTTGTGTTAGAATATTTGTATGGACTAGCATAATCACCGGACTCGTATATATTAATATCAAATAATTTATATTGGAGTATGTTATGATAAAGTCGTATTATTATGCATGGTATTATTTTGGGTCATAATGAGATGAACTCATTTTATTTATAGTGTGAGGCTCATGGGTTCATTGCTCAAAATATTTCAGTCAGTTCATTAGACTGAATAACTTTCTTTGTTAGGGCTTGACCCAATAGGCTTTAAGGTAACTTTTAATGCCCTATAAATAAAGGGAAATAGTATAAAATAAGTCAATATGAAAAGCTTAAAAAAGTATATAGGTCAATTTTTAGTTATAGAAATTAATAGGTCATAACTTGTCAAGTAATAGTTCATAACCAGATAAGTTATGAATAAACTTGTCAAGTTATGGTTCATAGCCAGACAAGTTATGGACAATTATGGACAATAATGTGTCAAGTTATAGTTCATAACTAGACAAGTTATGAACGAAAGCAGTAATTTAGTATATTTATTAACTTATGTAAATGATTGGCCTATTAATTTTAATTCATCTCAAGTCTTGGCCTATTTCCTTCTTTCTCCCGTAAATAAATCATCTTTCTGACAGAACTATTCTATCTCATATATTGTATGTGTGCGCCTATAGAGAGGAGAGACAAGGGTGT